CATTCTGTACTTGTAAGTCACATTTGAGTGTTCTCTTCCTTTAATTGTAATCTTTAGTTCTTTCTAGTTTCCTCTAGTGACCAGTTTTAAAGTCTTATTTTCTTAAGAATTCAAAACCAAAACATTTTTCCATGAGAAGCATTCTTTATATTTAATTCCAAAATCTTATTTCAAATTTGTCTGGGTCCTTGGTCTGTTTGTAATTATCTTAAACCATCCTATTGCTTATTTGAAAATAATTTTTTTAAGTCTTTAAACTTATATTCAAAATTTCTTTTGCTAAGGATTAAAGGAAACTCCCCAGTGCTATAAAACATGTCAATCCAAAGGTTCCTAATGGCTGAAAAGCAATTAACAAGCAAAAGTGATTAGAAAATGAAATATGCAAAAGCGTCTTTTCAAAAGTGTTGTTCCCAGTTAGAGCAAGATGGCTACTCCCTCATCAGGGGAACCTACCAGAGATTGTTAACTTGCAATCTCTGTGTGAGGAGCAACTGTCTCTGGCACTTTTGGGCAATCTCAAGTGCTCTTCTTGTCCAGAGAGGAATTATCGAAGAGGAGGTCTAATGGCTGGGCTTTTCATTCCACCACAGTCATTGGTTCTGCTTTTCATGGAACTGTCTTCAGCCTGCTATTTCTTCTCTGAAAATCTCTTCCTCTGTATTCTTAAGCAGACACAAGAAGGTTAGATAAACATATTTACTGTTGAGAATTAGAAAACTATAAACACCAAGTTCTCCAAGAGAAATTCTACCTTGAATCGTCAAATCTTGTTCTCTGTCTATATTCACTCTAAGATTAAATCTGTGGCCTCTTGCTATTTTTTTTAAACAAGTCAGTTTAGCTGTTTTTTTTTTTCCCCTGGCCTTGCAGCTTTCTGCAACCCATCTGTCCACAAATAGCTTCATCTGAGATGAATGAGATAGATAGAGTAGATGAATGAGAGAATCAAGTTCTACGTCACCTTTGTACCAGGAAATACAGCTTCAAAAAGTAATGTTCTATCAACTGGCAAAAAAAAGGGGGGGAGAGAAAAAAGAAAAACTGCACCTCAGTTCGGGTCACTTTTTTGGGGGGGAGGAGGCATGTTTTAATAATTTGAAAATCAAAAGGGAAAGATATATAAAATGGTAACATTCAGATTACTAAGGGAAGCCTGCGCTGGTTTAATATAAGGGTATTCTGGCAAAATCAGAAGAGTGAAGGCAGAAAATAGACTGTGCTAGTGAATTATGTTACAAATCAAAGGGGATTTCACAAAAGCTCAAGGCAAAACAGAAGATACAATTTGGGGGTGGCGGGGAGAGAAAGAAAATGTCAGACACTCCTGACCAGGACCTAACAGTAAATCACAGACCTTTACACAGCTGAATTAATTTCCTAGGCTTGGATTTGGCAAAAGTCTCTCAGAAACACTTTAGCTAAATAAGAATCTTTATTGCAAGCAAGAATGAAACCCAACAGAACAGTTGAATGCCCAATGGCAATGTGAGGCTGTAAGTGCCTTTTATACACAATATGGTTCAGATCTTTCTTCCTGCTCTCCTTGAAACTTAATAAACACTTTGCATGGGACTTGGCGGCCTGGAAGCTAAGCAATTGTTCAGCATTTACATAAATTACATAATGCTTTGCATAAATTCCAGATCTGACCTGAGAACACCAGTTTCTTGGTTTACAGTACTTCTCACATAGTATGTCAAAGGATGTTGAAAAATAACTTTTATTCTTTTGATTTCAAGGAAGACATCAAAATTTGCACCAGGCAAAGGAATTTGTAAAGTAACATTCAAAGGGAGCCAACTGGAATGCATATGAAGCCTCTAAAACAAACATGTCAAACTCGCGAGGTCACGTGATGTCTCGTGATGTATCGGAGCTTTTTCCCCATTGCTGGCAATGGGGTGGGCGCGGTTTCCTCGTGACACGTCTGGCCCGCGGGCCGGCAGTATTAGCAGGGCAATTTTGGTTTTATCATCAGTGTGAAAGTATACTCCATCACCACCACCACCAAAAGGGAAAAATTGTTTGGAACCAAAACAAAAATACAAGAGTTTTCTTTGAAAACATGATGATTACTATCAGCCTATCAATTTGATTTCTCAAGTCAGGAAGGTATTACAACAAAATATTGCTTTTAGGAACCCTAAGGATAATGGGGAAAAAAAATCAGGAGTCTGGTATCAGCTTTTCAAACACATTTTATTAAAAGGTATAAGTTTTCATAAACTTCATCAAATGTTATAGAGTGGCTAAAATATATAGAGTAAGGGAGGGGGAAGAAAGGGAGGGCAAGACAGATTGCCTCTGCAAATATAGATTAATGTGCCACAGATATTATAAATTAACAATTATGATATGTTCAAGAGCCATTGTGTTTATTGAGACCTTCTCAGATTGCCTGAAGCCTTTTAATACATATGAGGTCTGCAATCTCTCACTCAAGGGTGCTGTGGAAGTTCAATTTTTCCAAAATAGACACTTTGAGGTCTGCCATAGAGTATGTTCTGGCAGGTTGAAATGCTGTTATTACTTTGTCCTTGTTTTGAGTTCTGATGTCAAACTTGTATTCATTAATTTTTTGTATAAAGTTTGTCCATAGAATCCAGAGGGCCATTACTGACATGTGTTGACATATATCACCTTAGAAGAAAAGCATGTGAAAAAGCCTTTAATTTGGTGTTTGCACTTGTTGGGGATTGTGATGGTACTGTTGTGATGGGGCAAAGTAAATATCTGGGTTTCTTTGCAGGTCTTGGTTCCTATAGAAGCACAATTGTTGCTTATGAGAATTCACTTCAGATTGAGTAGTTGTCTGTATGAAAGTATGGACTTTCAAAGTATTGCCTAAGAAAGCCTAGTATCATTGTCCAGTTTGGCTGTAGTTTATAAATAATGTTTTTGAGTAGTTTGAGTTATGGGTTGTAGGTGACAACTCACTGGTGTTCTCTTGCTCTGTTTCTATAGCTTTATAGTAGGTCCTCTCTGGGTATTGATCTGATTCTATTGACTTGTCTATTGATCTTTGTGGTTGGTAATACAGCCCCTAAATGGTTTAATTCCATCATTTGAACATACCTGTCAAATGAGTTAAAACAAATGTAGTTGTAGTGTAGAGCTTGGCTATAAATGATAGATTTGGTGCACATTCTAGATGGAGGAGGGTGTGTGCACGGTGAACTGTAGGTTTCCTATATATAGGTAGTCCCTGACTTACAACTGCAATTGAGCCTGGAATTACAGTTGTAATTCATGTAAGTTGAGACATGAATTCAATTCAACCAGATCCAATTTTTGATAATGGTAGTTAAGCAAATCAGTTTTCTCCAAGGTGTGTTTTTTGTTAAAAAAAAATGGATGCCAGAAACCTGCAAAAAAAATATCACAAATTGTGGTCACATGACTATGGGACACTGCAAACTGCTGTCAAGATAAGCTGATTGCCAAGGTCCCAAAATGGAATTGTGGGAGAAGCCATTGTAACTTCAAACATTAGATCATAAATAGCTTTTGGGCAGGTGTTGTAATTTAAACAGTCACTAAGTGACCAATCATAGTCAAGGCTTATCTGTAATATCTTTGTATATGTGTTGTTTTATGATGTCATCAAGGAAGTGGACATATTCCTTAGAGCTCTGATCTGAGGTTGATGATGGGGTGGAAGTATTAGATCGATGGAAATGAACGTGTCATCCAATTCCATCATGACTTTAATATTCATTTCCATAGGACTACATGATAAAATACAATCAATGCAATCAGTGATCATATTCATCACTACTAGACACCTTCAGATATTTTGCTCCCATAGATTAGTATGATTCCCCTATAAAGAGAATAATGAAGTGAATTTTTGCCAACAATATGGTGATTTTTTTTCACCTCCACCATGATCTTTCAAAGACCTTCACTGTTCATTCAAATAAAGTTATCCCTGTACTACTGTATTGCAGAATACCTCAAAACAAGATAATGTTGCCCAAACACTTATGCCAAAAACGTATCAGCACCCTTCTCAGATACTGAATTGTAATTAACCATAAAAAGAGCCAAATAGTTAGAGAGACATGGCAGACAACGCTGTCAGTCCTATTGCTAGAAGCTTTAGCAATGCTTAATTCCTATTCTTCTTGCTTCCATTATAGCAGGACTAGTTTAGCACATTTAGAATCCTGAGATCATCCCACGGGCAGCTATCCATCCTAGAGACAGCTAACATATTCACAAAGTGATTGTAATGGGGGCACACCCAATTTATAAACTGATCACATTGATTAAAAAAAATAAGCTCTTAGGGGGCTGCCCTCTAGCAGCCCACTTTAGCATTGCCTCTTTTTCCACAACAAAGCCATTCCTCATATTTATTTTCTAAGAATGTCTATTAAACTTATAAGAGGCTGAGAAAGATTGTTGTAAATAAAAGTGATGTTGGATGCCAGTGCTGTGCTTTGCATGATGGTAATTTTCATTTTTTTTAAAAAAAAAAGTTAATGAACTGTAGTGGCACAGTAGTTAAAATACAGTATTACAGGCTAACTCTGCCCACAGCCAGGAGTTCTATTCAGATGGGGCTCAAGTTTGATTCAATCTTCCATCCTTCCAAAGTCAGTAAAATGAGAACCCAGATTGTTGGGGGCAATATGTTGACACTGTAAACCACCCAGAGAATGCTATAAATTACTATGAGATGGTATATACGTCTAAGTGCTACTGCTATTAAATGGGGCAAGATAGACACCAAGAGGGAGTTTCTGACTCTATTGGTGCCTACAGACGCTTTGCTTTCTTATTCTTTCACTAGGCTATATTTTAGTCCATTCTCTCCACCTCCACCAACGCACCCCAAATGGTATCTGTAAACTGAGGCAAGTAAATCTGATACAATTACTTGAAAGAAATTTGGCAGCATTGGAACCATATGTGAGGTTTTCAGTTCACTTCACAGGCTAGTGTACACTAATAGTTCACTTAACTTCTCTTATCTGTTTCTTTTCAAACAGGGGGAAACAAAAGTTCTGAAACTAAAAAATCTACGACCCCATGACTATGCCAGTTATACATGCCAGGTATCTGTCAGAAATGTGTGTGGCATCCCTGATAAGACAGTCACCTTCGAGCTTACCAACACAACTGGTAAGTCACTCCCATCCATTGAGATCAACAGGGGAAGCCCTTTTAAGGTTTTCTTTTTTCATGATATTAATGATGGCAAAAGAAGTTGAGGGATGTTTGATCAGAAGGACCTCAGATTTCCTGGGGATCTTTCTAAGTAGATGAAAATGATTTGGAGGAAGGGGGGCATTATCATAATTACTACTGTTTCCTCCAATTCCTGTTGCTGAAGGCTGTAGGAGTCCACATTGTGGAGGGGGAGGACGGTTTTGCCAAATTTTAATGGTGCAATATAGTGTTGTTTTGGAGGTTTTCGGTATTAAGTACTTGGTTCTTAATTTTGTTTGTGGTGGTGGTGGTGGTGGTGGTGGTGTTTCTCAGCTGCCTGTATTTTTAACTTTTTATATTTGTTATTGTTTTTATTTTGTTTGAATTCTGTTCACTGCCCACTTGTTGAGATGGGTGGCCATATGAAATGGATAAATAAATGCTAGGGATCCCTGTGTGGTCCACAAGCTAATAATTGTCCACCTTTCCCTTTTAAAAACTATACATGGATGTCTAATTCCAACTTAATTTCTAATATTCCTCTATATTTGCATTATGGAAATATGTTTTTTTAAATAAAGTTTTGAAGATAAAAAATCTTAAAACAGAAGAAGCTCTAGTTTTAGATCGAACGGTACCCGTCTCTGTTTCGGATCCGGGTCATTTTGTGTTCTGACTTGCTTCCTTGTTATCCTGTGATGTTTTAAAAATCAACCCCCAAAATGCTTTCAGGCTTTATTTTCAAATATATTTTCTCTTGAGATACCATTCAAAGATACCTCTCCAAAATGTTTGTTTTAAACATGTTTTGATACATTTTCTTTGAAGTGCATCAGTGTGACCCTCAACAGAGGACATATCCAACTTTGTAGTCTGCAGTCTTTTGAAATCAGTGTGCTGAGAAGATAATAGGGTAGCTAGTGCCATCTCGGGAGCAGACATTCCTTTGTTTGGAAGAAGACAGGAAAAACTATCTGCTTGATATAAACAAGATGTTCCAGATGTTGAACTACAATTCCCAGCAATTCTAGCCAGTGTTGTCATTGTGTTGGATGGTGAGAGCTGCAGTTCAGCAACACCTGAAAAACAAAACACGTGCCACCTTTTCTCTGAGCATTATTCTAACAACAAAGTTGTTCATAGGAAAGCTCACTTCATCTGAGAGCCAGCCTTTGGCCTATGCTGAATTTCCACTGTCTCTGAATGCATTTTGAAATATAGCATGCAATGTGTAGATTGAGACCAAGGGTCTTTTGCATGCAGAGTATGTGTTCTTTCAGTGACATATGACCTTTGGGGATGAAGTTATTGGCATCAGGTTTTAGGAGTTTGTGAGTTTATCAGACGGATGGCATAGGGAACAAAACTAATACAGAATCGGGTAGTCCTGCTAGAAATACTTTGAAACCCCCTCCCAGAAGGAAGCAACAGAAGCAGACCATAAAGTGAGTGTGTGGGGTCTCTAACAATGCTTTGAGCTCTAAGCACATAGCGCTTATAAGCAGCATCCTGAATACCAGGGAGAGAGCTTCCTATGATCTTCTCGGCTGTCCTTATCAATCTCTGTCCTTACCTTCTATCTGAAGGTACCAGACAGTGATGCAGTTTGTTAAAATGCTCTCAATCGTGCCTCTGTAAAAAGTGGCCAGGACAGAAGGAAAGAGATGTGCTGTCCTCATCCGACACAGGAAATGCAGATACTGGTTTGCACATTTCATTAAGGATGAGGTATGGAAAGGTGTGGAAAGATAGAAAAGCCAATGAAAAATAAAGGAGAGTATTTGTAGCTCAGGGTTGAAATGAGGGGGGTTTAGTGCTCTGTGAACTTGGTTGTTTTCTTGTAGACATTTCATTATCCAAACTGGTAACATCAGCAGTTATAGTAAGGAGTGAGATTTGCTCTCAATAAAGGAAAATATTTATAGCTCAGGGTTGAAATGAGAGGTCTTTGTTGCTCTCAAACTAGGTAACATTATCAGTGCTAGTAAGGAGTGCTGTTTGCTCTCAGTTTATATTCTAGTGGTCTGCCCTGTCAGTGCTGGTGCTTTTGGTCTTAGAGATTCTTTTGATGGACTTACTGTTGGCTTGTTTGGCAGTTCATTGATTGGGGCTTTGTTTACCTGATTGTTGGTCTGATGTTAATCTTTGAGTTAATCTATGCTCATCTGAGTGCTGATTACTGGTGGGGAAGTGTTTTGGTCTTTGGCTTGTTGATTCTCTCTTTTGCATAGTATGTAGATATTGTTTATATCTACTGTATGTGTCTATTGATAAGTAAATTGTCACAATGCCAGGCTTCTAGAAATTGCCTAGCATTTTGGGATTTGGCTTGGTCTAAGATGGTCACAGTTTCCCAATTGAAACTATGGTTAAGTCTGTCAATATGTTGTAAAATTAAAGAGTTTTCATCATGTCTTCTGACTGCTAGTTGATCTTCATGGATGTGTTCTGCCTTCTGCCTGTTTATCCTACATAGTTGCTATTGCAGTCATTACATTGTATGTTCTAGACCAGGGATGTCAAACTGCTGGCCAATGGGGCGGTTTCATCATACCGAGGCTGCATCTACCCCATTGCTGGCAATGCAAAAAGAATCACGATACTTCACAACATGTCATGTGACGTGGCAAGTTTGGCAGCCATGTTGTAGACGATTCCTGTTTTTTATTCTGGAGTTACTAGTGTTTTGGGTTTACTTAAGATGTTTTGAAAGATTTTAGTTGGCTTGTTTGCGAAGCTTATTCCATGTGGTTGTAATAATGTTTTGGTGGTTTCTGAGATGTTCTTGATGTACGGCAGTGTTATTCTTTTTGGATCTTGTGTTGGTTGTGCTGTATCGGATTGAGTGGTCAGGCATGTTTTGATAAAGTTGCATGGATATCCATTTTGTTGGAATATGTTGTATGGATGCTCTGATTCCTTTTTCTGCTGTTCAAGGTTGCTGCAGTGAGTTTATGCTTGTCTAAGTAGAGTTTTTATGCAGCTGTTCTTGTGGAAGGTTGGGTTGTTGCTCTGGAAGTGGAGCACTTGGTTGGTGTGAGTGGTTTTTCTGTATACTTGTGTTTCTAGTTTGCCATTGCTGATCAGGTCTCTGCTGATCAGAATGTCCAGGAAGTGTAACGAGTTGTTGTTTTCTTCTTCTTTGGTAAACTGGATTCCTTTGAAGATGTTGTTGATAGTTCTGTGGGTGTTCTCTAATTGGCCTTTTTCTGTTATGGTGAAGGTGTCATCTACATATCTAATCCATATTTTGGGTTGTATTTGTGAAAGTGCTATAGCTTCTAGACTTTGCATAACAACTTCTGCTATAACTCCTGAAAGAGGTGATTCCATAGGTGTACCTTTAATTTGTTGGTAGGTTTGTCCATCAAAATGGAGGTATGTGGACATGCAGAGGTCAATGAGATCCATAATCATGGCTGTTGCAGTCCTTGTGTATTTGGTTAATTCAGTGTGTTGTAGACCAATGTGGTCATTAGCTATTCTTTGGCTAATTCTATTCAAGATATGGATAAAAGTATTGGTTCTAGTGAATACACCAGAAGGCCACATTGACCATGTTCTTAGGGCTCTTAATAAATAGGAAAGAGGTTAAGAATGGCAGTGGAAAATCACATAAATCCTTCATTTGTTCCCCACAACAATAACCCTGTGAGATAATTCAGGCTGAGAGAGTGACTAGTCCAAAATCAATCAATCATTCTAGTGAGCTGTCTTTATTTATTTATCTAAAACATTTGTATAGCCACCTAATTTAAACCAAACTTTGGGTGGCTTACAAACAAGAATAAACAACTATATGTACAATAAAAGCAAGAAACAAAAAAAAAACCCAAAGCATAAAAATCTGGCACCACAACTGTACTTCTCTGATGCAACCCATACAATCTTCTCCTATTACTGAAGATGACTTAAAAATGGACTTTCTGATCCTAATTCAATACATTACAGATATTCCTCCTTTGATGACCATTCATTTAGCAACCGTCCAAAGTTACAACAGCACTGAAAAATGTTTCTACCACTTGCACTTGCAACTGCCTCCCCATGGTTATGTGATCATAATTTGGGCACTTGGCATATATTTATGACCGCGGCAGAGTCCCAGGGTCACATGCTCACCATTTGTGACCTTCCCAGCTGACTTCTGGCAAGACAAGTCAATGAGGAACCTGGTTTCACTTAACAGCCATGTGGTTTGCTTAACAGCCATGGCAAATATTATGACAAAAAGGTCATAAAATCCGTCACAGCTCACTTAATGACTAGATGGCTTATTCATAGAACTTCCAGTCCCAATTGTGATTATGCATTGAGGACTACCACTAAAACCAGGGTCCCCAGTCCCCAAATTGCAGCCCACTACCAAGCCGTGGCCTGTTCAGAACTGGGTCATATGAGTGGTGGGCCGGTGCGCACGTGCACACAGCTCAATGTGCAGTTGAGCTGCATGTGCATGCACATGTGTACTGGCCCACCACTTGCATGCACGCTGGCCCTCTGCTCATGAAGCCTGGTTCCCTTCTCCACTCCCACGCCCAGCTGGGACTCCAAGTTGCAAAGGCTGGGGACTGCTGCTCTACACCACATTGACTCTCCAACTATTTTCTTAGTAAATGCAGCCTGAACAAATGGTGTTATTGCTAGTTATCTTGTTTTGAGATGACAGAATAGATGAACTCCTTTGCAACTCAGACAGAATGCCTCTGTAGAAATCTTTTTGTGCCAGTTAAATTCAGCTAGAATAAGTGTTTTTCCCTTGTTCTGTACTTTAATGCATCAAAGCCTTAGAATCATATCTCAAGCCATAACTTTGGATTTTGTTGAAGTATCACTCTTTGCTGCTTTTCAGATTCTAAAATGCGGATGCAAGAAACCATTGTGATTTTGCATGGGTGCCCAGTTTTTCCTTACTATTCTACTATTAATGTTTTTACAATTAGGAAGCCCAGAAGTTTGCCAGCCCACAGTCA